TTCGTGCTCAAAATGTAAATTCTGGACAAAGTGCATCGATGCACAAGGAGTGTATTGATGCACACTTAAATAAATAAACATCGAATGCAGATAGTGCATCGATGCATAGGCTGTGTACCATGCACCAGTGAGAGGATGCATCGATACACTATAAAATGTACCGATGCATACATTAAATAAATAAATGAAAATAGCTTTTCTTTTAGTTTAAGAAATGAAAGATTTCAATATACTAATAAGAGATATTGAATGTGTCTTTAATAGATGCTTGAGTAAATCGAAATCAAGCTCCCGAGTCTAGCAAAACGAAAGAAAAAGACAAAGTAGTTGAGTAATCAGAATTGCATATTGGAAATAATAGCAAGGCGAACTAGGTGAGTGCATTTAATTATGTACGTACATGTGGTAATAGTTAAAATAACATAATCTATTGATGTATACATAGTGATTACCAAATGGCACTTTGTGTGCTAAAATGATAAGGAAATCATACTGAGTGTATGGATTTCCATATAGAGCACTGAGTGTGCTAAATGGTAAGGGAATCATATTGAAAATATGGATTCCAGATAGGGCATTTTATATGCTAAAATGGTAAGGGAATCATACTGAGTGTATGGATTTCCATATAGAGCATCGAGTGTGCTAAATGGTAAAGGAATCATATTGAAAATATGGATTCCAGATAGGACATGTTATGTGCTAAAATGGTATGGGAATCGTACTGAGTGTATGGATTTCCATATAGAGCACTGAGTGTGCTAAATGGTAAAGGAATCATATTGAAAAGATGGATTCGAGATAGGGCATTTTATGTGCTAAAATAGTAAGGGAATCATACTGAGTGTATGGATTTCCATATAGAGTACTGAGTGTGCTAAACGGTAAGGGAATCATATTAAAAATATGGATTCCAGATAGGGCATTTTATGTGCTAAAATGGTAAGGGAATTGTAGACACTCATTTCCGTCCACATTTTTATTATTGTATATATATATATATATATATATATATATATATATATATATATATATATATATATATATATATTATAGTTTGCAAACGGGTTTTTTAAAAATACGTATATAATATATAGTTTTTCTAAAATATTTTTGAAAACTATATAATATATAGTTTTTAAAATATTTTAGAAAATATATATAATATATGATTTTTAAAAAACATTTTTAAAACTTATATAATATATAGTTTTTGAAAACATTTTTAAAACTTATATAATATATAATTTTTAAAACATTTTTGGAAATTATATAGTTTCAAAAAAAACATTTTTAAAAGTTATATAGTTTTAAAAAAAAGCATTTTTGAAAATTTATATATAATATATAGTTTTAAAAAGAATCATTTTTAAAAAAAATTATTAAAATATTTTTCATATGTATTATTTATTATTATTATTATTTATTATTATTTCTCAATTTTTTTCCTTTTTTCTGGTCCAAGTCCAAAGGTAGGGTCCAAATGGTCCAAGGATAAGCACAACCCGGGCATCCCATGGTTTAAATTGGGGTTCTAATAGTGTTGTAGTAAAGGATTATGGTTTATAAACCCTGAAACATCATTTGTCCAGGCAGATCTAGACCGTTGGATCTGACCCAAACCAAATGCCAGAAGCAATCTCAAACATCATCGAGCCAACAACACAACCAACAACCATGAGAGATATCCGACCGAGATCTGGTCATGAAACAACTAAAGCAGTGAACCCCAGCTAAATCGGGACTGGCCCATCCCGTTTTAGCCGATAAACCACGAACGACACGATCCCGAGATCGTCGGGACTCCCAACGATCGATGAAGGCCTATAAATATCATCAGAACCATGGCGAGAAAAAAAACGGGACATCAACGGAGAATGAGAGTACATAACAGTAAATTGAGAGCCACAACCAACAAAAAATACCACAACAGTGAGAGCAAACAGAACCACACAGAAAACAACAGTACACAAAAATCTCATCAACATCACACAAGAGAACCATCAACAACCGAGAACAAAACAGTGAGAATAGAACCAAACAAAGCAAAATATCACCAAACAACAAAACCAAAGCCTCCGGAAGTCACAAGGCCGTCGGAAAAAGGTAAAAATGAAAGCTGTTTTCGTTAGATCTATGTCAAGGGGGTTGGGTTTTCCTATTTTGGGGTTTAGATCTGGAATCTCGGGGGTGAGACGAAGGTTTTGGGTGTTTTGGGTTTGCCCGGCCGCCGCTAGGTGGCGGTGCGGTGGAAAGATGTCATCGGGCAGTGGCCGGGCTTCGACCGGTTTAGGAGAAGGAGCGTTTTTTAAGGAGATGGATTTTTTTTCATGTTGGGTGAATAATGATTTTTTTTTGGGTTTTATCCTATTTATAAGGAGGACTAAGTTGTAATTAGGGGATAGTTTAATTCTCTCTGCAGTCCCTTTGAAGCGCAATTCGTTTTAGTCACTGTATGCAATTTGGCCACTCAGTTTTCAATTGATTCAATTCGGTCCCCATTTATATGTTACATTTTTTGCAATTTGACCCCAAAATTTTTATTTTATTTTATTACTATAATGTTTTTTTAATTATTATTAACATTATTTGTTTTTACTTCACATCATTTCCATTTTATAACTTTTAAAATAATATTTTATTTATTTATTAATTTTTTCTTCATGTTTTTATTTCTTTTTTATTTTCATTTTATTTCTTCGATTTATTTTTATTTATTTACCTTTTTGTAGTCTTTATTCCTTTTTTTTCTTTGATTCTTTGTTTTTTTACATTTTTTTACTATTATTTTTTTTACTTTTATTTTATGTTTTTATGTCTTTATTTTTATTTATTTGTTTTTCTATCTAACATTCTTTTTCCTTTTTTCAGTAATAATCTCAATCGATCCAAGGTAAATAGTTCAAATCGGGTATTTAAATTTTAATTTAAATTTCTAATATTTCACAATTAAGGACAACCGACAAATTAATTGGTATCGAAAGGGCGGTTCAAGGGTGCTAATCCTTCCTTGACCGTAACCGACTACCGAACCCGACACGTTTCTGGTACAACGCAGATCATGTAAGATGGTGTCCGGCCCACCTAAATTCGTTTTACAGTGGTCGGTGGTGACTCTAACCCAATTCATTCAAGTCGAAGCCCAATTTTGGGCCCAACCGAAGGACGGTCTCGACAAGAATCATACTGAGTGTATGGATTTCCATATAGAGCACTGAGTGTGCTAAATGGTAAGGGAATCATATTGAAAATATGGATTCCAGATAGGGTATTTTATGTCCTAAAATGGTAAGAGGATCATACTAAATGTATGAATTTCCAAATAAAGCACTAAGGGTGCTACAAAGATAAGGAAATCATACTAATGTTATGGATTTTCATATAGGGCATTTCAAGTGCTAAAATGGTAACAAAATCATACTAAATGTATGAATTTTTGAATAGGACACTTCGTGTGCTAAAATGAAAGGGGAAGCATACCAAGTGTATGATCTTCCATATAGAGCATTGAGAGTGCTAATATTGAAAGGAAATTACATGAATTGTATGAATTTCCTATAGAATGTATGGATTCCAATAATGATTGATAAATGAGTTAATGACATTAATAATGCAGATTGTAGTATATTCATTGGAATTAAAGATTCCTTACTGTTCATGAAAAGTATTTTTTTTTACATTTGTTATAACAAACATAATTCATCAATATGTACTCGTATTTTATTAATATAAGTTCAAATGTGTTGTTACTTTGTAAGGACGTTGTTTTAAAAAAAGTTAATGTGATATCTCGGACTCGTATCCGGGTCAGGTACGGGTTGGGGTGTTACATTTTCAGCTTTTAGTTTTAGCTATGGACAAACTACATTATTAGTCCCCCAACTTATAAATCATAAAACTCTTATTACTCAACCACAATTTCCTTGCGCCTCAACTCAAGTTCACTAACACTAAATTTGGTTCAATTAATTTATAAAGTATTTTGGGCTCAAGTTTGAGTCTCGGGTTGACCCGAACTACTAATTCAGGATTCGGGATGTTATAGTTAACAAAGTTAAATTACAGGTAGATAGACATATATTAAGAGAAATATCATAATCATAGGAAGAAGCTAGATGGAAAAGATATACTAACACGAATGATCTGGTTCATAATGTCATTAATCGTTGCTTTGACTATCAAGACCTCCAGTCTTATTTCTATAAAAATCAAATATTTAGCATGCTTTCAGAATTATGGAAGCAGAATAAGTAAGCTTCAAAATAAATAAAAAAATGTCAATACCATCCAACTCTACAACTTTATCTAGAGCTTTGGTAGATCCTCTGTTAAGAAGCCGAAATGAACTTTTCTTGCCCACATATTCTGTATAATTCTGCAACAGAACGTTTTCACACCAAGGAAATTTTGTAAAACTTAAGTGAAAACAGAAAATATCCAAAGCTTTACGACTGCAGTTTAACCTCAATAGGGGCACCATTCTCTCTAATGACAACATCATAGCTATCTATCTTTCCCGAACCTCGTTTTGAGAAGATCCCCGGAGTTGCCTATAAAAGCACACCAGATAAACTGCCTTGGAACATAAGGTGGTATTTCAGGGAGGACAAGTGAAAGCTTCTCCATGCATAAAGTCTTGTTTTTACAGTTGTTCCTGCAATACAGAAAGAAACTCCATAAAAAATTGCATAGCTACATTGTATTTAAGCAACATGGCTAAATAATATTATCCAGCACATCAAATACATCTCTTTTGGGCATGTTATGAAAATAACAAGTATTTTTTAAATATATTCGATTCAACTTTATTTATGTTCGCAATGCTACACTACATAAATGCTTCAGTCACGAAAAACAGTACTCACAGAGTTGTGTTTGGTCTCTAGTATCTGCTTCCTTGTTGGGCTTCAAACAACAAAATATATGGATCAAATTAAGGACCGGGTTCGTTTAAGCCCAAACTCTAAAACACCAATCTTTACCATCAAGAAGACATTTTTCATCCTAAACCCTCTTTCAGCCTTAGTGAACCATTGGCTAGGGTTTAAGGCCTAACCTCATCCTCATCGTCATGGCATGGTAAACCATCCATGGCCATGACGGTTTCAGGGTTAATCTTCGCCTGCAAGCCTCATCTCTCTCTTCGTCCTCCTCTCTTCTACTGCTTTCACAAAGTAATTCTGCGTTTTTGTTTGGTTATCTTTCAATAATCCGCCTTTCTTACATGGGTTTCAGTTAATTCATTTAATTTCTCATTTGCTTTATCATTTCTTTGTAGACTCGGTTCAGTTCCGTTGCTGCAATCAATACGCTTGATGACCCAATAAGTTTTATCAAAGATGACAGTCAAGGCACTCCTTTTTCTCTTGGAAAAGATGGTATGTCGTAGGGTTACTTTTATTTTATTGAATTTTAATGCTTCCCCTTTTGCTTACGCTATTTAATATTCTCTTTGAAACTGTGGGTGTTGAAGTGAGTAGAAAGGAAAGCAAATTGGCACAGTGGAAGAAGCTTAATTCTCAGGATCTTGGAATTAGCACTTCAAAGATTTCCAAGCCGACAAGGAAAGTTCTTAATGGGCTCAAAAGAAAAGGTATTATTTTTATAGGTTTTTACTGTTATATTCAAGGGAATGAAAGTTGTTTTCTCTGTAAAGTTTGGAAATATTAAGACTTTCTCTTATGCTGTAGGATATGAGGTTTACCTTGTAGGAGGTTGCGTTCGGGATCTTATTTTGAAGCGAACACCCAAGGACTTCGATATTATCACTACAGCACAACTCAGAGAGGTTGCTGTTGTTTATAATTTTGTTCTTAATCTACTTCTGGTTCTTATGGTTATTTTGATCTTACTTGAATGCTTGTTTATCATATAGTACGTATTGACATTGTTGGAGAATCGGCATGCTAATTTAGCAATGGATGTGTTAACAGTTCATACATATTTTAGTGCTAGCTTGGTTTCTTGTCTGGTTGATACCACAAAAATATAATCCCTTTAATCTCTATTGTTAGTTTCATGTCTCATTGTCTGCAGAGGTTTCCCAATTCCTTGGCTTTCAGTCATTCTAAAATTTGTTGTCCGAAATTTTCAGGTGGTGAGAGCATTTTCACGTTGCGAAATAGTCGGAAGGCGGTTTCCAATATGTCATGTGCACATTGATGATACAATAGTGGAGGTTTGTTCTTTGGTTTTTTAACCTGACTTTATGAAATCTGGAGGCAGCAATTCAAATTTTATTTTTTACAGTTTTATGCTTCTTGATTCTCTTGATGATGACTGTTAATCAAGGTTAACTATTTCAACTTGTTTTTCTTTTTTAACGCTTAATTTTTGTTTTGAATTCTCTTTACAATTTAGGTTTCAAGTTTTAGCACAGCTGCACGGAATTTTGGTAGGGGCCCGACCTATGAAATTGAAAGACCTGCTGGTTCTGACAAGAATGATTTTGTTCGTTGGAGAAACTGTTTGCAACGAGATTTTACAATTAACGGGTAAATTTTGTAACATTTTGAACTTATGATTTATGTACTCCCATTTGTTCCAATTTTATTTACATCCTATGGCTTTAATTTATAGTGTTCATAGTAGCATGCCTTTTTATCATTCATCTACTACACTTATCTGTTTCTACAGGTTAATGTTTGATCCATATGAAAGGCTAATTTACGACTACATGGGAGGAATTGAAGATATTAAAAAGGCTAAAGTACGTATTATGTTATCATGGTTGACTCCATGTTGCTCCAACACTTTGCTTTTCGTAAAATACCTGTGTTCAATGCATAAAAGGACATGGGTACGAGGACATTACCCTTAAAGGACCGTCTGAAATACATGTAAAAACTTGGAAAGAAATGAACACACTTATGTTGGGCACATACCCATGGTTTCAAATCGCGGTCGCGGTCGCGTTTTCAGTTATTTCGGATTTACCGTGATTGCGGCCGTCGCGGGTAACTCGGACAGCGGCGAAACCGCTATATCGGGCCGAAATCGTGGTCGCGGACCGTTTTTTAAAACCCTGCACATACCCTTATCCAACTCTCACGCGTGGTCCAATTAAACATAGTTGGCTTGTCCTTTACACGCTTTAGAAATTAGAATTAACAAACATTATCCTTTTACTTCTGATATTTTAGGTTCGAACTGTGATTCCTGCAAGCACATCTTTTCAAGAGGATTGTGGTGAGTTCAATATATGGAATTTCAAGTCAAGTACTTTTCATATTGTAGTTTAGCAATTGTTATGTTATTTTCTGCTGTTTTTACCTAGTACACGATTTAGTAACCTGGCATTTTTACATACTGAAAAATTGCACCTCGGTCCATACTCTTTGCAGCTCGGATACTACGTGCAGTAAGAATTGCCGCTCGGTTAGGCTTTAGTTTTTCTAGGGAAACAGCTCATTTTGTCAAAAATCTCTCTTCCTCGATATTGAGACTGGATAAGGTATACGAAAAGTTCCTTTCCAAGTTTTCCCGGCTTTTAAATTTTGTGAAAATGTTGCTGGCTGATCTCATTCACTAATGGTAATGTTTAGTCAAGGCTTCTGATGGAAATGAACTACATGATGGCATATGGTTCTGCAGAAGCGTCTTTGAGATTATTGTGGAAATTTGGACTCTTAGAAATACTTTTGCCGATTCAGGTACAGAACTGAAAAACTGATATTCCTGTCATGCTTGTTAATTTGATACTAATGTTGATGCAACTTTAATCTTACAGGCAGAATATTTTGTTCGAAATGGTTTCAAGAGGCGTGATAAAAGATCTAATATGCTCTTGGTAATTTTGTCTGCATTTTGTTGACTTGGGGTCACAAAATTACTTGCATCAATGTGATAGCATGGAGACTGTTAATTGTTTGATGCATTGTTTGCAGTCTTTATTTTCTAAATTGGACCGACTGCTGGCACCGAACAGACCTTGTCACAGTAGTTTATGGTAAGATTTAAATGACAAGAAAATCTTAAAATTCTTTCCATCAATATAATGCTGTCAGTATTCTGAAATCTCAGTGACGGTCAATTCGACAAATTGTCTAAAGTTTTTTTTTCTTTCTTTTTTTGGTTTTTTACTTTATGGAAGCCACACATCCCTGAGACATCCTCTTATTGTTAACAGGGTTGGAATTTTAGCATTCCATAAAGCACTTTCAGACAAACCTAGAGACCCTTTCGTTGTTGCTGCGTTTAGCCTTGCCGTCCACAATGGTGGAGATATAGCAGAAGCTATAAGTATTGCCAAGAGCATCAAGAAATTGCATGATAATAGTTTTCATGAACTATCCGAACCAAAAGATCTAGAGAATCGGACATTAGTAAATGAGGTTATGGATCTTGCCACATCTATTAAAAGCATCTTGTTCCAGATGAAGGATGAGCATTTTGTCTCTCAAGCAATGTCAGCATACCCTCAAGCTCCATTTTCAGATCTGGTGAGCATTTTCTGTTTTCGTGTTTGCCTTCTATCTTCGGTTTAATGGAACAAACAGAATCCGGCAGAACATCGTATTTTGTCCCATTAGATGTAGTAGTAAGCAATGTCTATTTTCCAATCTCCTCACCAATTTAAAGGTATTCTTCTTGAGGTTGAAATCTGGAACAAGCGAGTATCTTTCCATTTTTAAATAACTTAGTTGGCTTTGTAAAACCAAAAGTTGATTGGGGGAGTAAGGAGAGAGACTTGAAAATGAAAATGAACAATATATCTATGAATTAATAGTTGTTCCACTAGCCGTTATCCGTATTTCCTTTCTGCTTTACGCCGAAAGGCATAGCTGAATTTTCCCGCCTAATCATTCGTATGCAGGTATTTATACCCTTGGCATTGTATTTGAAAGTTTGCAAGGTCTTCGAGTGTGTGACAATGGGTACGGAGAAGGGATTCGTATCAAAGCAAGGCAGCCGGATAGACTATGAGTTGTTAGCATTAGGAAGCCTGAGGGAAATTCGACATACATTTGCTAGAGTTGTTTTTGATACGGTATACCCTATTGACCGAGCCTAAGGTAAAAGATGCTGCATTTGAAGTGGTTGTATGCAATAGAAACGAAAATATTGTAGTATTACATGCTAAAGCCTATTTGTTGTGCATATATGCACATGGAATAAATTGTGCTGAAAAAATTGAGTTCTTTCACCATGAATCAGTGTTGAATACCGAGCCCTCCATTGCCCCTGACCCTGTCAAGTGTTTTAGATTGCGGGATGAAAAATTCAGTAAAAATGGCTCTCTTTACCTTCGACGCCATATTTGCTGCTTTGGCTTTCGATTTCTGTACCAATTAAACCAGGGAAATAACGTTGAAAAATTTAAAACAGGGCCAGATGTAGGGAACAAAATTAGGGCTTCGGGGGATGCAGGCGGCGTCGAATAGGAAGTCGTCGTCGGTTGAAATTAATTTTTTTTAAATTTGTTGTGGGTAAACTACACCAATGGTCCTAATATTTGGGTTTTTTGTTTTTTCCACTGAAATTTTAAAGATAATAAATTGATTAATAACGTTATTGGTTTATAACAAAATCGTCAATCTCTATTAAATTGATGATGGGGCAATGTTAATTAATATTTAATTTTGCCCCTAAACTATTGCTAAAACATCAAAAAGTCTTCAAACAATTATTTTATATCTCACTTGTAAATTTTTTCAAACATCCCACCACAACTATATTCGAATCACTTTCCTTACAAAATGAAAATCAAACAGAATAGTTAAATGGGGTTTTTCCGTTAAAGACAAATACATAAGTATTTAAAGTCGTGTATTCAATTAATTTGTTACAAATTAATAATATTAATGACTAATTTGTTACTCTTGAAACTTCAATGGAAAAAAGAAAAACTTACTAAAAAATTAGTGACAAATTTATTAATTGATTTTATTATAACTCGCGCATGGCATATCTGAAACTACTGCGAACATCTATTAATAATAGAGATTTAGTTTAAAGAGTCAAAAAAAAAAAAATTGATTATTAAGATAATCAAATAACTGTCATGAATAGACAATTATAAAGCTAATCCTAAATAATTTGTAAATACATAAGTTCAATTTTTATGGAAGACAAAAAAATTTATAACTTATTAAACAAGAAAAATAAAAATCCATATGTATAAAATAAATTTTACAAAGATAAAAAGAAAAAGAGAAGGGTAAAGAAGAAATAAGAAAAGATTGATAATTGATACTCAAATCGTCATCAGCGATAGTAGATTAATTTTAACCAATAAAAAAATTAGAGCGAAAGTGCATTCATTTATTAAAATTATGGTAATTAGTGAAAATAAAAAAAGATTGTAATCTTGTTTTATTTCAATTCATGTGGACTCCAATTCTCTTAAATTGGGGGCAGAATATCAATTGGTGGGCCAAATTTTGGGTTGAATCTACATAGGAAAAAAGGTAAAATTGACCCAATATCGTAGGTGGACTAATTATTTAGCCCAATACATTAGGGGTGAACATTCGATCGAGTCGAGTAAAAAAATTTCGAGTTATTCAAGTTGACAAGTCCTATTTTACAACTCGGATTTGATTTGAAATTTTTTCGAGTTGAGTCGAGTTTATAAAATTCGAGTCGAGTCGATTTTTTTAGTTTCTATTTAAATTTAATTGCAAATATGTATAATATGTATAATATTATTTTATTCCAATTTAAATGACTTTCTATAACCATATATATAATACAATTATATTTCTTCATATTTTTTTCATATGTGATACACATATATCATACAAAGTAAATCACTGAAATGTAACACCCTAATCCAATTCGACCAGAAGATCCATGGATTACAATGTTACAAGAGACAACCGAAATAGTGACCCAAAAATTTTCATTAAAATTGCTTAGTAAATCACTGAAATAATTCATCCATAACAGTAAAAATAAAATAGGTAATAATATGAGTTTACAAAACAATGGGGAGCTCCCAAAATAATGAGTACCAAATAAAGTTACGACTGAATACATAAAAAAGGTTCAATACAATACATGCCCTTTAAAGATGACTCAAGACGTACTCTAAATGTCTCTGGAGATCTGGTCTGTTGCAATAGAATGTCTGGTGACGATAACTCCCCACAATCTGCTCCTTAAGAACCTACGACGGAAACACATTCTGAACGCTAAGCTTACGAGCTCAGTGCCTCATTAATAATTGTATTATACTACATGCATTCAGTTAATGAGATAGATGGTGGCACAAGTCCAAACATGCAAAGCTACTGACTTAACTACTGAGAAGGCATTATGGTGCGGCTAAGGGTTCTGTATCTCGGTGCTCACACACCCTTCTAGCCTTTCTAAGATGCCCCTGGTATCTAGGGTGAGATCCGGAGCTGGATTGGAAACGTATACCCCCCAACTTACTCCGTTGAGTCTTGGGGCATTTGGGCCCAGTCAGTTGCTGAAGTACCTTGGCACTGACTTGGATATCCATTGGCTGTCGTACTCTGCTAAGAGAGACTCAGGTGTCCTGGTTGTTTCCTGAGCGTCAAACAAGACTAATTTTATGTAACCTAATCGTTATGGTTTCTACTGTTCTAATATTAATTATTGTTATCACTTGAAGTATTATTTACTGTTATTCAAGTGTATTTGGAACACCTAGAGTCAGATCCCTTAACCCCTGAATTATTTATCAAAACCTGCTCGTGGGTACCGATACTGACCCTTTAGTATCGATACTGAACTATTGGTATCGATACCCCCCATCTGACATGGTTATTTGGATAAGGCAATATCAATACTCAAAGTTGAGTATCGATACTTTGGTGCTAGGGTATTGATACTTGATCGAGTATCGATACCAAATTTAGGTTCGATGTTTCAAAAATTACCCCCAATATCGATACCCTTATGGGGAGTATCGATACTCCTGCCCTGCTATCGATACTCAATGAATGAGTATCAATATTACCTTATAAAAATTCCCAATTTATGTTTGACTGAAAAACAATATCGATATTATTCTTACAGTATCGATACTATCGCTACTGGGTATTCTGTTTTGGCACAAAAAATCCTATCTTTCTACCCTAAATATCCCATTGAGGTCCCCAACTTATGTTTAAGTGTTTTATATGATATTAGGGGTCATAAGAGTTTGTAAATATGTTGATTACTCTCAATTTATGCAATCTACCATGATCATGCTTTAAGCCTGTGCAAAAACTAACTCATCTAAATGAGCTACAAGTGGTATAGAGAAGTTAGAAGTGAGTTACCTTGAGTGTCTAGACTGCTGGAAGTGCTCAAAGCTCAACCCAAGGTAAGTTTCTCATTCCCTCTAGCTTGAGAGCTCTCTCCAATCTCTCTCACTAAGAAAGAATCAAAGAATAAGGGTTACTAACTGGATATTGTGTAACACCCCAAATATTGGGTCAGTGACTAAAGATAAGGATTAAAAAGTTAGTGGTTTAATTTCGATAATTAGAAAAGTTTAAGGACTAATTTGAAAATTTTTCATATAGGACTTATTATTAAAGATTAAAGGTTGGAAGGGCAAAGTGGTCTTTTGTCATGAAAGGAATTAAAAATTCATTTATAAGGTTATTTAAGCATGTGGGAAATGAGGGGGGAAAAAGAAAGGAAAATTCTGGATATTCTTCTCTTCTCTTCTTCTCTTCCACCGTATGCTTCCATGATTAAGGTAAGTTGATTTAAGTTGTTTTATTCCTTCATTTTGATTTGGTTTTGGTTCCTTTGGTATTATAGAAGCTTAATAAAGCTTAAAGATGAGTTAAAACTAAGAGATGGATAAATTAATGGTGATTTAGTAAAATGGGTTTTTGAGGGAATTGTTAGAAATGATGAATATTTGAATTCTAATGGAATATTTGATCTGTCAATGATTTAATTAAGGGATTAAAAGTATTAAAAAGGATTAAGAACATGTTTGAAGAAGTGATAAGATTTTCAGTCTCAAAAGTTATATGGATAAATTTGGATATTTAAAGGAGATTATTGTATATAAGTTAATTGGGGTAAGTGTAAGTAAGTTTAAAGGCATGAATGGGGTATAAAGTATGAGATTTAAGTAAAGATGAGTAAATTTTTGAAGTGAAACAAAAGAATTCTAGGTAAGGGTATCGGTACTAGAAGAACAATACAGATACTATAAGGTTAAATTTAAAGAAGTTTGTATGAACCGAAGAACAATATCGATACTAATTGAATTAGTATCGGTACTGAGGTGTATCGATACAAAAAGGACGATATCGATAATGTAGTTGCAAGGGGATTTCCAGAATGCTTAAATGGTATTAGTATGAAGTGGGTATCGGTACCATAGAAGAGAAGTATCGGTATTGTAGGCAGAGTATCGATACTAGTTAGTCTGAAATGTTAAATTAAGTGTTTTATTTCGTTTAAGTAAAGATTAATTGGGTAGATGTATTTGAGTTCGATATTCATGGGTCATATTAATGTATAGATTTGATCAGAATCAAGTGATGAAAGAATGAACGTGCAAAGTTATTAAGCTAAAGGAAAAGAAGTGTTGCTTAGGGCTTAATTAAGGTAAAGGGGAGTGCTATTTATTTAAATAAATTATGATTGGTGGAAGGCTTGCGATAAGCCAACCTAAAAATGTTTTTAACCAAAATGAAATGACATGAGTTTATGTGAAGATTTTCTATATGAGTATGATTCATATAAGTAAATAAATAAGTGGAATAATGATATGTAATACAAAATTGTTATGTGAATCACTATGAATATATGCTATGTGATTAAAGGAAAATATTGAATAATTCTATGAGAAATAAAATACTTTGAATAAATGTTTGGATTTGAATAAATAAAAAAGTGATAATGCTATGTGACAAAGATCTACGTGAACTGTATGTGAAAATGTGATATATTTGAAATTGTTCTACGTGAAAGTATACTACGAGAATATACTCTATGGGAATAAGATACACTTTAATTAGTTAAACTCAAGATAATTATAAGTTAAAGCCCAAGGTATATGTATGAGAATTAGAGGTATAGTTGGCATGCCAAGAGTCGAGGGCTCTATGTGGTCCTTTGGGACAAAATTATGTGGCACT